CCCACCTATCACTTACCCTATGACTGTGTGCAATGAAGGCATCACCCTTGACAAAAGTAATAAAGCCGTCGAAAATGAAACGTGTGCGATGGCCAACACATCCCACACGATTTGGGAAGGTAAACCATGTGTGGTTCCTTGCACAGTTCTAGTGAAAGAAGCGTGCATGATGAACTTCACACATGTTTTGTCAAAACAAAGCGTGTGCTACAAAGCACATGGTGGTGTTGAAGAAAAAAAAAGTGATGACGGGAACAATGCCACACATAACTTTTGGATGTATTGTGTGCAAATTATATAGACAATTCGTTATGATAAACCATGTGAGATACACCTAAGAAGTCGTATGTTCACATAATTTCAATAACCGAAAGTTTTCCTGGCCCGGCTGCACTAAAAACAAAAACATGCATAAAACAGTAAATGATAAAGGAAGCGAAATTCGTAGGTTCTTAATTACATGAAATATTTATAACATATATAGAGACTATGCATAAAACGATTAATTGGTCATCAAGTTCATCTTGGCATGCTGTCACACTGCACCATGCCAAGTTTCATCCATTTCGGAGGTTGTTTGCACAGTATGTTCAATGGAATTGCGTTCTGACTTTTTTAGTGGCTACTAAATCAGTTAATGCTACTAAACGCCTTCTAAAAATAAGTACCATGAATATAGCAATAACATCTTCATGTGGTATTGGTTCAGGTAGTACAGTAGTAGAGCAAAGATAACTGTGACAAACTATGAGTCCATGCTTGATAATATAATGCCATGCATGAGTAACCATTAACCAACGGTCAGGTCAACGAAACACACTAAACGAATACTCCCTCCGTTTGGAAATACTTGTCATCAAAACGAATAAAAGGGGATGTATCTAGATGTATATTAGTTCTAGATACATCCCTTTTTATCCATTTTGATGACAAGTATTTTCGGACGGAGGGAGTAGATGTTTAAGAATTTTCCACCTGTATACTCAAATGTGTATTGTGACACCATTAGAATCATGGCATATAATATATGATTCCAGATTTTCTCAAACATAATGGGAGTATCTACTAACAAATATAGAAATGCATTAGCACTTCACCGGTAAATAATTTGTATGCACTTGGTAGTTCACACTTTTGAGTGGCATAAAAAATGTCAGTCCTTGATGAGAGGTATAGACCAGGATCAACAACAATTGGTCTTATATGTCTTGACCTGCACAGACATACAATGCCAATATCTTGAACTCCCAAATCCGAATGAACAAAGTGACAATTCAGAATTATGAGATGCCCTTACTCCTATCAACCAATATAACTGGTATGCTGAATGAAGTTTATATCCCTTGGTAGATATGATAAGACATGCAGGAGATCTGCCAAAAAATTGTAGTCAAATCAGCTCAGAAGAGTTAAGTCCTACAGAGTACAGATTAAGCTTCACCTAATAGCTGATTAGCTGTTATTAGTTACCACTTAGGATTAATGAAATGCCAATACATGAAAGCTATCTACCATTCTGTTCTACAATTTTATAACCAAGAAACTCTATAAAGCAATAGCAAGACTCTTTTAGAAACAATATAGCAAGTTCCACTGTTTCAACTTCAACAAGCAAAGCCAATGCATGTGAAATACGGCAAAAACTCAACAAGCCTGAACATGAGACATGGACTTATTTTTTGTTCTACTTCCTAAGCTCTAGGTTACAACCAAACTAGTCCTCTGTCTGGGTCTAATACAAAGCATAAGAGATAGCAATTATCTTCTGGAACCAGATTAGATCGCCATTTTCAGGCCACCTATGCCTACTCACCCGAATAATTTCCAAATCATTCTGGTAAGTACCGTTTTAGGGATGGAAAGCAAAAATAAAGTAGCATGATGGAAAGATATTTATGTTACCGAATAGTAACGCATTTCCATTTCGAATTCCTTCTTTCGACGCATTAAAGAGTGAATACAACAGACCAAGTAGCATATGCTCCACATACACACAGATGTGGTTGTTGTTTTTTTTCTCGATGACATGACGTAAGGTACAGCAAGCGTCAATATGATTCTGCCATGACATTTTGTGGTTGCCAGAGTTAAACAAGAATTATTTTCCACTATGACAATATGATTCTTGAAACACTTAGTTCATTCAATCCCTAATGCATTGAAATTTATCTAGCTAATGCCTACTAGTACCCTAATTTAGCATCCTTTATGCCCATTGAATCAAGAGAGATCTATCTACATTAAACACTCATATATCTCACACATAAATAATCCCTGAGAAGAAGAAGGAAATGGCAACTAGATTCACAGTTCTGTGCTAGCAAAACAACTAAATAATGCTCAAATTTTAAAATGGGGCTTTGGGTGACGTGTATTAATCATGGAAAAGTTTGACGTTGAAATAATGCAGAAAAATTGAGTTGTGTGTGCAAGGCGGCGTTTTCCGTTCGAAACTCTGACACCTCGCATATTTACAGATGTACATGTGCATAGATTAACGCCATGTAAGAAGTACAACATAGTTTTTTGGCATAATTTCATTCACCTTTGAACTAAGTTTCTCTAGACAATTTAATCCACAAGTGCTACTGAGTCTAGTAAGTTATCACCATGGGGTTGAGTATCTCTAAAATTATATTCTCTACAATTTCTCAACACCCATGTCTTTTGAAACTTTCTCTTGTGCATGTTTATTCTTTGTTAACATCACTTTCGTTTAAAAATAGTCCCACCACAAGTCTTGGTTATCTATATTAAACAAAAAGAATGCTACTAAATTTCATCTACTAGAACAAAACCTTCGGTTTAGCCATCAAGACTTACTCACACTTGAACACATTACACATACTACTATAACTAGTCTAAGTAATTAAGGTGCAAAAGACGGGAGTCGTAGGACATAACTTCACGATCATGAATGTACACACACTTCTCTTCCTTAAGATTACATTCCGCGTTGCTCAGTGTAGATCAACTCCTCTGAAATATACTACCTCCGTCCTGGTTTATTGATACCCTCAGTATTTTGTGTCAAATTTTGATCATGGATTTAATTAACAAAATGTTAATGCATGTCACAAAAACTAGTATCATTGGAAACTACGCTCAAATACGAATCCAACAATATAATTTTTGATGACATGCATTAACATTTTTCCAGTTAAATTTGTGGTCAAATTTTGGCACAAAATCCAAAGTGGAACAATAAACCAGGACGAAGGTAGTAAACAAGAATGCAAACAAAATCCAAAGTCAAAGGAAAATAGAAAAGCAAAACAAAATCCAAAGGCAAAGAAAAGCAAACGAAAAATAAAAAACGGCAGAAAGAAAAATAAAAGCAAATAAAAAGCGAAGTGTTGGAACAAACCAACACGAGTGTTTGAAGCTTAGCGACCGGAAGTACAACATCATTACAACTTATTAAAATAACGCCATCACATCTTGATGGATACGTGGCAATGACCTTCCCCAAGCTAAAGCCTTTGCAAGCCCAAACCGGTGAGATCATTGCGGCGGCGGCTGGTTAGGAGCCCATCCTTGGCTCCAGTTGGAGAAGTTGGTGTTCATGTACATGGACGTGCTTCGAAGAGACTCGACGAGGTTGCTCATGTCATTGATGGAGCCCTGAAGACTGTAGGGCACTTTTTGTGGTGCCTCATCCTGGGTTGCTC